TATATATATATATATATATATATACACACATACATACACACATACATACATATACATACATACATATATATATATACACACACACACAGATATATAAGTCTGTCATAGGCATATGATATCTTGCTTAATGACCATGCCACAGCTATAGAGTCGCCAGTCCCAGTTGTGATAATTAAGCGAGAACTACCTATAGATCAGTATCTATAGAAACATGCTAGATTCTATGCTAAAGCTAGCTTAGCTGCCTTGTTTCAGAAATGAAGCAGGTCACCCACTTCCATTTTACAAAACCAACAATGGAACTGCATATTTAAATCCTAGAGAGCAGACTATTATTTATACTCTTGGGAATCTTCCAATATTTCAGGCTATGAATCAGTTTAAAGATCTAAGAGACACTAGAAATGAATACTGTATATTCACGAGAGAAACCTGACACCCTATGATGAAGTAACTCTTCCATAAAATAAGACGTATAGATCCCACTGCATGTAAAGAAGAGGGAACTAATGTCCTTCTCATATTCCCCAGGAGAAAAGCAGAGCATTATTGGGGATTCCACAGTCCCCTTTAAAAGTGGGAGTGTAATCAGAAGGAAATTCCCCTTCTTCTACAGTGGAATATCTGGATACAAATGCCTGCAATAAACTCATCACAAGTGAAAATTGATCCAAAATCTGTTTTACATTGGCACAATTATTCTTAAAGGGTTAAAAAAAAATCTCCTTTCTATCTCAGCATTCTCTTTTAATTAATGCTAGGTGGAAGAAACACCTCAGCAACATTGGTGCAGTTCTTCAGCCAGGTAACGTTTTAAACATAGATGAGATCCTACAATCAGGGGTGAAATTCAGCAGGTTCTGACAGGTTCTGGAGAACTGGTAGCGGAAATTTTGAGTAGTTCAGAGAACTGGCAAATACCACCTCTGGTTGGCCCTAGAGTGGGATGGGAATGGAGATTTTGCACGCCCACCAAGCCACGCCCACAGAACTGGTAGTAAAAAAAATTGAATTTCACCACTGCCTACAATGGATAACTTGGTGATTCCTTCCACAGGCAGTGCCAACAGCTGCCTTAGATGAACTACTGTTGGTTTTTTTTAAAAAAAGTTTCTTTTTATTGATCCCCCCCCCCCGGTGCCCCTACTTCAAGGTCAACCATTGATCCTCTGGAGAAAATTCATTACATCTGTCCATTCCCTGCTTTGGTAGAATTCAAAATTAACATTTCATAAAATGGCAGGCTTAGTAGACAGAGAGAGAGAGAGAGAGAAAGGCAAACAGGCTTGTACCTTTTCTGGCTGAGGAACCTGGCAACGATATCACCAGCTTTTAGCTCTCCCGTCAGCTGGATTGCCATGGAAACTTTGGAAAGATGAGGTGCTTGAACCCGTATTACTCCCTCTGGAATATCAGCCTGCAAAGCAATAATGAAATTGGAACACAGCACCTTGCAGCTGGCTTTGAGAAGGGTTTTCTCCAAATCTGTGCAGACTGAATGCCCAAATCTGGCATTTTGTCCTGTGCAAAGCAGAAGCTATCTTGTTTCCTCCCCTACAGTGCAATTTACCAAAATTCAAACAATTTTAAAAATTAGCTTTCAGAGCAATGGAACATACTTATTCACAGATGGGATGGTGGATTTTTAACCACCAATTTAGAAGCTACATATTAAGAGCCTGCATTTAAGCTAACATATTTATATATGAATCAGATCCTGTTCTGTAATGAAGTGGGGGGAGAGGAGACTCTTCATTTCAGAATCTTACACTCTTAAAAAGCAGGTGGGGATCAAGTTTTAATTTTCTAACCAAATGCCATTTCGACCTTCTGATGGAATATAATTCCAAAATATGAAACAGTGTGCGTGATTTCAAATTTCATATTCTGAAAGAGGTTATCTTACCTTCAAGTATAAAAGAAACCCACTATTTAAATTTCAACATGTGCCATACAGCATTTTATTCAAATGAAGATATAGGGCATAATTCAGAATCATTGCACACTACTTCTGGTTCCACGTGCCGGAATGTGAAAGCAAGCACTGGAGCAGGTATTATCTAGGTATTTTAGTGGTTTAAAGATATAGGTAGTCTTTGAGTTTCAACAGTAATTGGGACTGGTATATCCTACTTGGAAATTCTGCTAAGAGATTAGTTATAAAACACAATGTGATGCTTTGATAGACAGTCCCCGCTGCTGTCATTAACTGAATCCCACAGGTTGTTAGGTGAGGACCCATCCCAATCCAAGCCATTCCCCCCCAGCCCCATGCTTGAAAGGTAAGGGACTGCTTACACTTCACATCTGCCCCACCTGCCTAACTCTCCCCATCTCTGCCCCTTGGTCATCTTGCACTCTACTGCCTCTGCCTGCCCTGATGGCCTGCTGGCTCTTCTGCCCTACACCCAGCTCACTCTATCACCCAGCCAGCCCTTGCCACCTATTGTGGCCCGCCAGCGGAGCCGTCAGCAGATTCGGACAGAGAGGAGGTTGGGGAGGAACATGGGTCAGTCCGGGAATCTGGGGAAAGCTCTGACAAGTGCTCTGTGTTGGAGGCAGAGAGGGGGCCAGGGCCGTATGACAGTTATCAGCTGCCTTCGGAGTCAGAGATCAGTGTGGCAGACAAACAGCTGGAGCCTGTTCCCAGTGTGCGCATGTGCAGAGTTACCAGACGAAGGGAACAGCTGAAGAAGAGGGGCCGACTTGGCGTTAGGCCATAGGTGGATGGTGAATGACCTCTCCCATGGGGAATAAAAGAGAAGCGAAAGGGGAGGGGTGTTTGCAGGAGACAATTAGTTCATTCCTGCATTCTTGCAAAGTATTGAGACTCTGAAAGATATCGGCCTGGCCACTATCCACTGGCCACTGATAAAGGTCGGTAATTGTGAACTATCTTGAAAGACTCTGGGCCAGGATTTTGCTGGAGAGGAATTCACTGTAAATTAAACAAAAGGGGTTTATCGGGACGAGGACTCAGCTTCATGCTGCTGGGGAAGCCTATGTCAGACCACCACCCTGCACTTGCTTGCTCTGTCATCCTACTGGCCCTGCTGACCCCAGGTAAACGTAGCCATCTTTTCCCCACAGCTGAGGTGTGTCAGGCCTGGTCCTGTTTCTCTTCTATTTAGAGGTGGCATGAGCGGCCTTGGTGAAAAGGCCTGGCACAGCCCCAGCAACTGCCTTACATAGGGCCAAGCCAGGCGTTCCTCACTAGAATCAGAAGAAATAAGGCAAAGGGCAGCTAGGTGCAGCAAAGCCTTCAGAGTGCAGGGTAATGGGGTGGATGGGGCTTTGCACTATGGTGCTGACCATAACACAGGACTTGAGGCAGCATTTCTCAGCAGGGGTAGCACTGGGGCTGAAGTAAAGACCTTGAGGGAAGGCCTCAGCCTCTATTTCAGTCCCGGTAACACTATGCAGGATGGCCAAAAGGACAGAAATAGGAGGCAGAGGAGAAAATAGGAAGGTAGGGGGCGTTGAAGTGTTCCTAAGATTGTAAGTACAGGCAGGTTGCCAAGTGCCAAAATTTGTTTGTACCAATATGTTTTAGGAAGGCAAGAGCTGAACAAAAGAGAGATGATGCAAAGGGGGTAGGACATGTAGAACATGTAGGACCAGATGTGGAGAGTGGAGATTTCTGCTTGATTTCTCTTAAATTGGGAGTATTTTTGAAACAATTAAGCAAACTTTTAATAATAAATGAAGACCACTGCTGGGGGCCATAAAAGGGCTATGTAACTCGGGCTATCAGATATCCACTCCTCTCTGGGTCCACAGAACCAAAAATGACTATTTCCATCACTGTGAACGTGGCCAGAAACACCAATTAGTTTTCAATAGGAAAAAAAAAATGCTTAGGTCCACGCAATTCTAAATGTATCCACAAGATGGCTCCAATCCATAAGATTATAAATATTCAGTTAGAAAATGTGGAATAATTGAAAGAAAATCTATATTCAGAAAAATAATATGCAAATATTTGGCTTGATTTCTGTTATGCATCATATTAATAGTATGGTGATATTTTAATAGATATCATTATCTAAAGTTATCCAGGTGACAAACAACCAAAAGTATATATTCTAGCAACAGTTTTGATTTTTAAAGAATACCAGGCAGCTAAAGAAATTGAAAGTTTGCTTAAAATATGCGGTATGTATGCAATGCCTATATTTTAAGTACTTCACACTGCTTTATTTTGGAACTGTACTAATAGTTTAATCTTTAACCCAAATAGAATGGCTGAGAAATGAAATAAAAAGACTTTTTGTGTCCCAGGAAGCTGTATATTTTTTTTCAGCTGCAAGCAGATTATACTAGCATTCCCCAGTTTCATAACTTCTAAATGTGTCAGTACTGCAATTGCTCAAAATGTAAGGATTCGTTTCTCTTCTTTGTTCAGATTAGGGTGGTCATTTGAACTCTAAAAATGTAAGGAAGTGCACAGGTATGATTGAGAGACTTCTAGTAAGAGCAACCACAATCTTAGGCAATTATCCTACAATTTACTACAAACAGTTTCTACAGTTAAACACATCAGATACTCCAAAGAGATACAACTTTCTTTGTTCTGGAGGCTCTAATCCCTGTGGGTACAGCTGAAGTAGGAATTGTGGATTTTTGTTACAAATTGTTTGCTTACATCATTGCCACTCTTTTGATCGCTGATACTTTTATCTTGCTTTTCATGTTTTTCTCGGTCATACGCCATTTTTTTCAGAAGTTTCCTCATTGCTTTGTCCTTTCGTTCCTTCTTCTGACTTTCAGCATTCTGCTTTCTTACTTGGTTCACAAGAAACGTAGGAATCTAGGCAGACAGACAGCATGTTTTATTGCAACATTATTATTGCTCCCTTAAGACATTAGTAAACATCTGTTGGAAGCTTTCCAATAAAACTAAAAATGAACAGCAGATGCATTAATGTTCTGTACCAGTGAAGTTTCTTTTTTTAAAGTGAAGCATATTATTTCAATATCGAAATGCTACACACTCAGTGGAGTGATATAGTCTATATTTAAGTACAAATAGTTTGCCTTGGGTAGCAAACCATACTCCTCTAGCCAACAGCCTCAGTTCCAGATGCCATAGTATTTTAAACAATTGCATCTGGCCTTTCTGTGCAATCCACAACTCCCAAAAACATTTAAATCTCAACTGCAACTACTCCCATTCTGATGACACTCAATTTAAAAAAAAATCTCATGAACAAAAGGATTCAGACACTGACTGTTGTTTCTCAGACAGCTTTACATGAATATATTTCTAGAAGGGAAAATTTGATTGTTTTCATTAAGAACCATGTATAAAGTATGCTAAATACTTAAGTATGCTTAATAAGGTTACAGTTTCTTGTGAAAAACAAAACAGTTGACAAAATGAGAAGAATTGTGTGAAGAGTGAATAATAAAATTAAAGGACCCAATGCATAATACATTATTCTGTAAATGTTTCCAAGGGGAAAATAGATTATGCATTAACTGGATTAAATAAAACTGGATTGTTTTTTAGTTTGTTGATTAATATGGGCTCAAAGAAAACCAAAGTGTTTCTAAATTTGGATAGATGTTCATTTGGTCTTTATATAAATCAAAAGAAAAAGGCATCTTTTCCATCAAACTCACATATAATTAATGCAGCATTTATAGCATTTATAAAGGAACCACATCGTCTCTAAGACAGAAAAATTGTGGTCCACTGCTTCTGTGACGATTCTTTCAGGATAACACTCACTTTTTAACAAAAGCAAACTTACAGTCCAAAGAAGATTCTGGTATTTAATCATAAAACGCATGACGTTTGCTGTCCCAGCTGCCATAACAAACTCGCTTTGTTCTGTGGGCTTGGCACCCAAACCATGAAACATGAAGAGGTTTGGCGCCATAACCATGGCAACATTCTTTAGGTTCATCTTGTTTTTATCTCCATGATCGATCACTCTTTGAAGAAATTCAAGCAATACCTGAAAACAAGAGAACAATTTCAAAAGTAGCTGTATGAGCAATCTTCGCATTCAAACAGCCTATTTAAAAAAGATGCAGGGACTTCCTGGGAGGAGCCTACTGGTGGAAGCAGCAAAAAATCAGCTGCCTCCGAATTCCTGGCTACGTACCTG